GTGTCATCAGCAATTTGAACAGGGTGCTTTTCACCCCCTCGTCCAAATCACTGATGAAGATGTTGAACAGTGCGGGCCCAAGGACCAAGCCCTGTGGAACCCCACTGCCCACGTCCTCCCAGGATGAGAAGGACCCATCCACTACCACCCTCTGGGTGCGGCCCTCCAGCCAGTTGGTGACCCATTTGACTGTGTGGGTGTCTACACCACAGCCCCCCAGTTTCTTAATGAGAACGGGGTGAGAGAGTGTCAAAAGCCTTCCGGAATTGTACAGGGTTTTCACGGAATTGGACCAGTTTCATGGAAGTGCAACTCCAGCTATTGAATTTCATATAGGGGTATTTTGTACACCCACATGTACTGCCTGAGGTCAAGGGTTAGTGTTAAATTAAGATATGTAATCTTCTGCAGGTACAATGAAGAAAAGAAAAAAATGGAGCCTGGATTTCCTAAATTCATTGCTGATTCATGGAATGGCATTCCAGACAACTTAGATGCTGTACTAAGTCCCAATGACAGTGGTGAGCTATATCCTAGTTTAAACATTTATAGAGATCTTTAAAGTGTGTAATGCCCTTGACTGTTTCCAGGAAGTGCAGAAGCAGACATTTCTAGTAGTTAATGAACAGGCATGTTGCTAGCTAAAACAAAAAGTGCTTCAAGCTTGTTTTTCGTGTTTCCCCCATGACTCTCCATTTAACTGTTTTGATTTACCATTTTAAAAGATTATATTTAAGAAGTAAGAACTTTCCGGAACACCATAAATAAGAACAGTCACCACTACCCTCAGTTTTGTGCAACATGGATAGCATTTTTCAAAACTGCACTAATGACAGAAAGAATTTACAGTTCTGTGATACCAAATCCCAATGAAAAGTCAAAAAGTTTAGAAATAGGATTTAATAGCAAGAGATCTTTGAGGCTTGGTCCTGGTTGAGAGATTCATTTGTTCTGTTTTGCAGAATGTGGTGTGAGGCACCATAGCTGCCCTCCTTATAGCATAAATTACATGTATTCAGCAAAATGGACCCCATCTCTTGGTGTCTGACGTAGCAGGTGTCCCCAAAGGAAAGGGCATCACTGAGGCAACATAGCTTAGCAATTTTCCCTGCCATTGGGGAATATGGGAAGGCTGCAAAGAGTTATAATATGTTTCAGCATTGCTCCCAATCTGTTAGAGACTGAAGCAGACCATGGTCATATCTAAGATTAAAAAATGTGAAAAGGTTGCTTGGTGTAATCTTTGCTCCTTTCTTCCCTTCATCTACCTCCACCTGTTGCTTAGGGTCTAACTTATTGTCTTAAAAACTATCCTGTATCACCTGCCTCATCACACTTTCATTCATATAGCTAGATATAGAAATGACATAATTTTTTACAGCAATTATTCATGCCCAGAAATTTTTTGTTGTTTGTGAAATAGGAGATTGGCTTAAGTTCCAGTCAAAATAGATCTCTCCTTTATATCCACTTTGAATTCTGGGTTTCATATAAACTTAAAAACAAAAACAATTTTTAATAACATTGTCTTAGAAAAATATTTGATTCCAATACTTGTATTTAAAATTATAAAAGAAAGCAACCACTTATGATCAGGAATTAATGTTCTAACTAATGCATAAACTATTTTTTCTTCTTTATTTCCATGACAGGGTTCAGCTACTTTTTTAAGGAAAAGTATTATCTGAAGATGGAAGACACAAGTTTGAAGATTATTCAAATTGGCAACATAAAATCTGACTGGTTGGGTTGCTGAACTGTATAAAATATTAATAACCAAATATTTACTTTTTTGTTATATGCCTTATCTGTAATTAGAAATAGATCTGAATGCTGATAATGGACCAGTCTGGTACTGGCACCAAAACATTAAGTACCAGTACTCTACACTTTCATTCATCAGATAATTTAAAAGTGTGTGCCTCAAGTATACAAAAATGTTTACTTACATCTCCTGGTACAACTTTTAAGCTGGTTGGTGATATCAGTAACAGAATAACCCTTATATTTTACTGCCCTGGTGCTTATACTAAAGTTCATTGAAGTCAATGGAAATAGACTTCAGTGGGTTTTGAATCAAGCTCCTGTGGTATACATGTCCTTTACAGCCCCAAATAAGATGTACCAACAGTGCACTTTGATTTTTTTTTTATACAACTCTGAAGATAGCTGGACTTGTCCTGGTGCTCATCACCCTCCTGCAGGTTTTGATCATCCTTTCCATTTATTTACATCGTAGTACAGTAAGACTGTCAAAGGCACAGGTTGCCTCAGGATTTGATTTGTGTTGATGCATGATGGAATCATGGCAAAAAACTGTATTAAAGTATTGTTTTAAAGTACTTTTTATTTTAATACCATTGTCAAATTTAGCAATTTGCTTCATGCACTTTGTTACTACTATAAACTTGTTTATATGGACAGAATGACTCCAATTTTTGCAGTCAATGCATTATTCATAAAAGCAAAGTATTAAAGGTTTACCTATTTTATTTTTTTGGTTCCTTAATCTGTTGGGTGTTTGATTTCTTTGCTTTGATCAACAGAAACTTTTCATATTGCAAATTGATGGACTGTTTTTACTCATTAAAAAAAAAGAAATTCCATACATGAAATACCAAACATACAAATAAAATCAAATTATACTGTCAGCCTCTCCCATGAACAGTCTTCTTTGAATTGTTTGAATTTGCAAAAGCATGTCAGGAGCATGTTAAATTGAATGCTCCCCAAAAGAAAGAGACTATTAACAGGAATAGAAAGGTATTTATTGAGAATTCAGATTTAAATTATTTGCTGGGAATCTAAGAGCTGCACCAGTTTACATCAAGTGGAACATACAGCCCATAATCACAAGAGAGCATGATGCTCCTAAATTTAACTTCTATGGTTTTCCATTCAAGCAGTCTCTTATGAAAATGCCCATTTAGCCTTATGTACATAGGATTATAAGGCTGTGTAACATGCCTCTTCTCCCTCCTCAATACAAAGCAATACAAGCTCCAAGCCCCATTCTGAAAGGCAGACCACAAGGAGAGAGTAGTTTTAAGGTTAACTTTGTTCAAATGGGGAAGTCCTTGAAAAAGAAAAAGAAACACACTGAATCCAGTTATCAACATGATATCATATTTGTAAGTTCACCATGAACAGATTGCCCATAATTCATTTATGGTGTTGTGGTACAGAAAATATCACATAAAAGTAAGTGGCAAAAAGTGTAAAGAGCCCCCCGCCTTCCATAATCAGGAGATGCAAAACTAAAACTGAAAACTAAAATGGTTGACAATACCAATCAGGGGTCATGTACAAGGTCAGTATGTGGAAAATGACTTAGAAACTTGTCATAATTTCCAAAGAGGCCAGAACAGAGCTGCAGTTTCTCACTTCAGCATAGCAGCTGCTAGGTAAAACTTTTCACTACTCTGCTTTAATAAATCCATAAACCATAAAGCATCTGCCAATATCATCAGCACTGGGGATGAATCCCAACTTTCTCCTTGTACTAAGATACTTCCCCAGAGAAGCTGGGAGGATGTCTTGGTTGGTTGGGAAAGTCAGACAGGTGCTCCCAGGCACTGAATCCATCATGGAAATTCCTGGAGCACAAAAGACCAGGCCCCTCAAGCTCTAGGAGCATACCTCGCCCATAGTTCTGCAGATCAAGAGGCTGGACAAATGGTGTCATGTTTTTCACCCAGTGAAGTGAATCAGTTGTGTGGGACACATCCCAGCAGGCACTCAAACAACTTGAGGCAAAACTGGCCTGCTTCTATTTCTAGATGGTATGACCTGAAATCTTATATTGTCATTACCTGAGGGACACTTTCCAAGGTGGCTGCCTTCATTTTTTTTAAATACCCAATGTCTTAATATCAGGATGCACCTGGAAAAATTTAGCTATTCTGAAGATGTGTTCTTTCAATCCTACACCCATTTTTCCAATGGGTGCAGGCAGTTATAAGGAGACAGACATCTAGCTCTGAGAAGACTCATTTCCTCTTACCCAATCACTTAATTCAGCTCTTTAGAGTAGCATTTGCAACAAACCTTCCAACAATACCATCTGGACATGGCATTAGCATTATCATGGTTGTGCCCAGGTGTATGTGTAATTGTCAAATTATAATACTTCACTTTTTTCTAACTACCTGGCAGTTTGCCCTGAAGGATTCTTATATCTGAAGAGCCACTGATACCTTTCTTGAGCGTAAACTTCCTTCCATCATAACAGTGATGAAAATGTTTTATAGATTTAACCAGTGCCAGAAGTGCTTTTTGGATGGTGCAATAATTTCTCCCTAAAAGTTCAGAATCTTGCCATAATAAGCAAGCATTTTCTCAAGTCCTTTGTGTTCTTGTGTCAATATTGCTCCCCACAATGTGAGCACTAGCATCTGTGTTCAATATGAAAGGGCTTTTGGAATATAGACAGACAAGATCGGTCACAAGAGCCTTTTTTAACTTTGCAAATGTTAAATCACAATGTATGAACCACCAAAATAGTTTCCTCTTCCCACCCAACCTATGCAATGGTTTTGCAATATTGGCAAGCCCATAAATGACCCTTCTGTAATAAAAGAGTCCTACAAAACTCTGCACATCAGAGTATCTGGGCAGATGCCAGCTCTACACAGACCCAATTTTCTTTCTGGCAGTAAAAATGGTTCTCTTGGTGATGGTGTGCACAAGGTACAGCACCTCCTGTTGATGCAACTCACATTTCTTTGGGAACCATTTCAGATTGGTAGCCTTAAGCTAATCATAGAACATAATTATAAATGTATCAATTCTTGTTCAAAAGTTTTAGCATACACTAGGAGATCTTCGAGCTATAACAAGCAGGCATAGCAAAGCAGCCTGCACTATATACTCCCCATTGCCTTTTTCAAAGCTGGCTGTAGCACTGCACAGGCCCTGTAAAATTGCTGCATGCCTTGTCCTGCCGTGAAAACAAACTAATTTCTGGTATTCACTTTAAATCCACTTCCATTTGCCAGCAATCACTTTTAAGGTTCAGTAGGGAAAACCAGACCGAATCTGATACAGTGAACCAGAATATCTTTTATTCATGATAATGTATAGAATGATTTAAAATGACTTCACTGAATTCTCCATAGTACATAAAGAGTCTTTTTTTCTTAACCATTACTATGGGAGGGGCCCAAAAACTAGTGGCAGCGTCAGTTATTGATTCCTGATACATTTCTTCAATGGCTTGTAAAGTCATTCCTCTCTGGTAAATACTGAGGAGTTTGTTTGATAGATTAACTTTCCCCAGCATGAATATAATGCCAGACCACCACAGTACAATATAAATGTACTGAATCAAGAAACAAAAAGAAAAACCCTCTGGCTTCCTACCAAGAATATGTGAAACGTTTCTGGTGTTCCTCAATTAGATGCACAACATTGCTTTGAAGCAATTCTAATAGAAAGACTCTGGAAGCTGACAATTTCCTTTCCCCAAATAGCTTTTTTCTATACCAGCAGTCCTACCTACAAATACTTAGTTTGCTTTCCACAGAAGAAGAAAATGAACATAGACATGTGATAAGCAAGTCATGTGGCTAAATCAGACTTTCTTATGTAAGGGTAAGACAGAAGCCAATAGACTAGGGAGAAAATATATTTTGTAGAACATAGCTGCAACCTAAACAAGTTGGAGAAGCTGGATTAAGCAAATGCTTATCCCATTGTCACAGCCCCAGAGCTGGCGAGCCAAGCTCATGGTCGTGGTCACGGTGGGGCGGCCGGGTGGTGGCAATTGGAGCGGACAGGCGGGAGTTTTTGGCAATGGAGTACTGAGCGGCACGGAAGCATGATGGTTTCTTAAACAAGTGGGATTTATTCGACTTATGCTTTTGAGGCGTAGGCA